ATCATCTTCAAAGACCTCCTTCCGTTCTCTTCATTTCGCATTACAGCGATCTTTATTGACCAGTCTTGCCCTTAGGTGCTCATATAAAATTCTCGTTGAGTGCGGTAGAAGCTCTCCATCTGTATCTTAGGGCACATTTTGGCCCCAAGATAAAACGCTACGTGATTTATAGAAAATGAAAAAGTTGGGGCACAGGGCAGGGGGAGGGAATGTTGAGAGTGGCTGAGCATCAGTTCACCAATACCCCTACCCTGGGATGTTTAGGTTTACCTTTTACTATTTGTTTCTGTGCTATCTCATCGTAGAGTTGGAAGGGATCTCCAAGGGTCATCTAGTCCAACCCCTGCAATGCAAGAATCACAGCTCAGGAATCCCTGACAGATGGCCACCCAACCTCTGCTTTAAAAAATTCCCATGAAGCAGAGTCCCGCCACCTTCCAAAGTAGACAGTTCCGCCGTCAAACAACCTTTACCACCAGAACGTTCTTCCCAGTGATTGGTCCATTTCCTTTCTTGTAATTTAAACCCTTCAGACCCTACTTTTCGGAAACAGCAGAAAACAAGCCTGTTGCATCCTCCGTGTAACGGATGTGACAGCAGTTCAGATACTGTGTTTCTGAACTGTTTCCTGCTTGGCAAGGGGTTGGACTCGATGGCCCTTGTGGTCTCTTCCAACTCTATGATTCTATGATTCTATGACTTGAATATGGCCTCTGAGTCTCACCTCTCATCTCACCTCTGAGTCTTCTCTTCTCCAGGTGAAACATACCCAGCTCTCTCAACCGCTCCACGTAAAACTCTCAAGACCCTTTATCAGCTCGGTCACCCGAATCCTTCAACATCCGGAGGGCCAAAGATCTAAACATTCCTGATCTAAACATTCTTTGAAAGAAAATGATGCTCACACTTGGGGTTGGCAGACCCCCAGGACCAACCTGAAGTCTCCAGGTTTGCCTGCCCTCTCCCTGCAGGTGGTGGGGTTAGGGTTTGTATCTCCAGTTGTATAAGAGCACCTTCCCTTCCCAGCCTCCCTAAGCACGTGAGAAAGAATTACAGTGGTATCTCGGGTTACAGACGCTTCAGGTTACATACACTTCAGGTTACAGACTCTGCTAACCCAGAAATAGTACCTCGGGTTAAGAACTTTGTTTCAGGATGAGAACAGAAATCGCGTCGTGGCAGCAGCGGGAGGCCCCATTAGCTAAAGTGGTACTCAGGTTAAGAACAGTTTCAGGTTAAGAACAGACCTCCAGAACAAATTAAGTTCTTAACCCCAGGTACCACTGTACCCCTTCATTTCATCTGGACCACGGACTGCCCCTCCCCCACCTCACCCTGCCCTTTTAAGCTGAGGTTAATTTCCGGCCAGTGCCATATTTGCTCATTTGTTAGACTTTGTGTGTGTGCTTTTTTTAATTGCATGCTCTCAGCAACTGTGGTTCATGCTTAATGCGTTATGCTTGATGACATCACCAGTGCCTGCTCCTATGTCTCAGGAGATGATAGATGATAGATGATAGATAGATAGATAGATAGATAGATAGATAGATAGATAGATGATAGATAGATAGATACTGTATTTTTTGCTCTATAATACTCACTTTTCCCCTCCTAAAAAGTAAGGGGAAATATGTGTGCGTCTTATGGAGCGAATGCAGGCTGCACAGCTATCACAGAAGCCAGAACAGCAAGAGGGATTGTTGCTTTGACTGCGCAGCGATCCTTCTTGCTGTTCTGGCTTCTGAGATTCAGAATATATTTTTTTTCTTGTTTTCCTCCTCCAAAAACTAGGTGCGTCTTGTGGTCTGGTGCGTCTTATAGAGTGAAAAATACGGTAGATAGGTAGATAGGTCTAGATAGATAGATTCAAACCAGGAAATGGTGGGGAGAGCTGGAAGGTCCTCATGGCTCGTGAGGAGCCCCTCCCCGGAGCCCTAAGAGGACGTCAGTGAGGCAGGAGGAGGCCCCAAAGAGACTGGGGGCGTGTGGGGCTTCCTTTAGGCTGCTCAGCCTCCCTGCCTAGCCAGTGGCATAGTGTTGTGTGGAAGGTCCACAGGATCGGTGGCCCCGGGTGCAGAATTGTTCAGGGGCACAAAATTTCAACACCTGGTGCTGGGTTCCGTTGAAATTTACTAGACATGAGGAACTCAGTTCATTAATTTCAGTGGGTCTACTCTGAGTGCAGCTTAGTTGGATACGATACAGTGGTACTTTGGTTCTCAAACTTAATCCATTCCAGAAGTCCGTTCCAAAACCAAAGCATTCTGAAACCAAGGTGCGCTTTCCCATAGAAAGTAATGCAAAATCGTTAATCTGTTCCAAACTTTTAAAAACAACCCTGAAGCAGCAATTTAACATGAATTTTACTATCTAACGAGACCGGTGACCCATAAAATGAAAGCAATAAACAATGTACTACAGTCACACAATCAATCAGTAGCTGAACTGGGTTCTCCACAGTCACAAAAAAAGAGCCGCAAAAGCAAAAATGCAAAATAAATATAAAAAACAGACAGACCTCAGCGTAACACTCAAAATGGAAGTGTGGCACTCAAATCGGAAGCACGTTCGGCTTCCAAAAAAAGTTCACAAACCAGAACTCTTACTTTCGGGTTTGCAGTATTTGGATTCCAAGTTGTTTGACTACCAAGGCGTTTGAGAACCAAGGCACCACTGTACCTGATTGTTGAACTTGGTGTGCTTTAAACTAACCAGAGTTTGTTTTAAACTGCTCCTCATAGTTTGGATGACTATGGAGGAGAAAGGGGTGATCCTCAGGCTTGCTGAAACTCATCCTTGCTTAGGCCTGTTTCTCCAAACCACGGTTTAGCATTACATGTGAGCACAGCCATTGTGAAAGGTAGCAAAGTTGTGCTCAAGCACATATGAATAAATGGCAGCGAGCAGCGAGTTTCCTCCCTGCCAACTTGCGGATTGCAACCTGTTGTTTTTTGCCTTAGATAATTACCGTAAATGGGAAACGCCAATAAACAAACCTGTCCCAATCTGCATAGCTCCACCCCTTCATTTGCATAACCTTACCCCCAGGTTCCAGGTTCTAGGCATAGCTGTCAAGCACCCCTTATTTGGCGGGAAACTCCCTTATCCCAGCGCCGTGTCCCGCTGCTCTCCCTTATTGATGATGTCCCTTAAATTTCCTGGGTTTCATACTCACCCAGCTCGGGAGGGAAGCAGCGGCTCGGGGTCCTCCGCCGCGCAAGAGAGAGCGCGCTGGCACCGTCGTCCTTGCGCAAGGATTTCCATCGGCCCTTCCCTGCCCGAGAGAGAGGTGGGGGAGAGAGAGAGAGACTCTCACCCACGCCGCCCGCGAGCCCGGAGGCGGCAGCAGTGGTGGCAGCTGAGGAGGTGGCCTGAGAGAGGAGGAAGAGGAGGGGATGTGGAGGGACGCAGATGGGTGGCGCTTCAGCGGCCATGGCGGCTTCGCAACTGCCTCATGCCGGATTGACGACATCTGTCAATCCTACTAATGTATGTAACTCTTTACAATAGCAAAATCCCTTATTTTGGCTGCTGGTCCCTTATTTTTGAGGCTGCTGGTCCCTTATTTTCAAATCTGTAAGTTGACAGCTATGGTTCTAGGTCATGTTAGAGTGCAATATAACACACAATAAAACGTGTTAGGAGAGGGACAGAGAGAGAGAGAGAGAGAGAGAGAGAGAGAGAGAGAGAGAGAGAGAGAATGAATATTGGTGAGAGAGGTGCCTGCCACTGGGATGAGTACTTCCTGAGCTCAGCTGCCTTCTAGAGGGAATCAAGAAAAAGCAACTGCTGCTTTCCACTGGGGACACAGGAACTAATTCAGCCTTACGTGCAGAAAGTCCCTGGTTCAGTCGTAGGCATCTCCAGGTAGGACTGGGAATGTCCTCTGTCTGAAACCCTAGAGAGCTGCTGCCAGCCTGTGTAGGCAATACTGAACTAGCTGGACCGATAGTTTAACTCAGCAAGCATAAGGTATAGTTCCACTATGTTTATCAGCTCTTATATGTGGGCTCCCAAGTTTAATTGGTAGGGTTCCAGCTTTGCAACTGAATGCTGGCTCTGCATACTAGGGAGTGATAATTGCCCTCTACATATGATATGTTGGTATTCACAGCACGCATCGATTAGTATATCTGATCAAAGTCTTGTTTTGATGTGCCCCTCTTACTTGCATCCCCCTCCTCATTTTTTAAAAAAAACTTTTCCTTTTTTATATAAAAAAACACTTTCTCACTTTATTTAACCATTTTTAAAGCATTGTGATGCAACTCAAGAAATCACCTTTTGCATGTACAGTGGTACCTCGGGTTACATACACTTCAAGTTACAGACTCTGCTAACCCATAAATAGTACCTTGGGTTAAGAACTTTGCTTCAGGATGAGAACAGAAATCGGGCTCCGGTGGCGCGGCGGCAGCAGAGGCCCCATTAGCTAAAGTGGTGCTTCAGGTTAAGAACAGTTTCAGGTTAAGAACAGACCTCCGGAACGAATTAAGTACAGTGGTGCCTCGGGTTAAGTACTTAATTCGTCCCGGAGGTCTGTTCTTAACCTGAACAATTTCTGTTCTCATCCTGAAGCAAAGTTCTTAACCTGAAGCACTATTTCTGGGTTAGCGGAGTCTGTAACCTGAAGCGTATGTAACCTGAAGTGTATGTAACCTGAGGTACCACTGTACTAAAAAATAAAAAAGGTGGGAAGTGTTGCCCCCGTCTTAAAAAAAAGCAAAAAGGAAGAACACCACAGCAAGCTTTACTTGCAGAAAGTTGTTCACATTCTTGGGAAGGAGCAAAAAAATAATAATATAGGCCTTAGGTTAGCTGCATTGATTTAATGCCTTAGTTAGGCAGTAAGAGCAGAGGTAGAGAGACTCTCCCCGCATTAGGAGAGCCTGGGGTCGCCCTGACTCCTTTTGATCAAGTCTCTGTGAAAGATGAGTGTCATGCCCTCTCTCAGCCAGCTGTGAGGGGTCTGCCCTGTGACTGGAGGGGCCTGCCAAAACACTCCCCTCCAGAGCGCTGAGGTGGGAGCATCCTGGAGAGGTGAGAGAGAGGCAGTCACAACTTAGGACTGTAGGTTTCTGGAGGAGGGATCTGATTTCACTCCCCTGTGCTCACTCTAAGCGCACATCAGGCGTGGAGGTGCTCTCTGCTTCAGACAAGGGTAAAAAAGACCTAGGCGTGTGATGATTCTGCCTCCCTTACTTGTACAGACAGGAATGTTTCCTGGTTCTTCTTTGTACAACTCACAGCAGAGGGGATGGGAAACTGTTTTATAGCTCTCAAAACACATGCTCCGTAAGAATGTCGGAGGTAAGGAAAGTTCTTTTGTAGTTTGTGCATGGATTTGGGTTGTCCTCCCTCCCACCCCCCTTTCCCTGCTTGCAAGCTCTTGTGCTATAGAAATAATGCTATTTGCTGTAATTGCTTCATTATCCTGGGATAGCAAACAATAAGATTTCAAGGTGCTACACACTACGCGATTTCTTATTTGACTGCTACCTTGTGTTTTGGAATTATCTGTTTGCTTAACAGACTGAGCCTAAGCAGGTTTGCACAGAAATAACTCCATTGATTTATTTCATCTTTTTTTCCTTTTTTTAAAAACTGATTCAAAAGTAAGTGTGCTTTGCACAGCAAACCTTACTTACTAAATGCTGGCCTTCTGGACAAAATGCATCCTAAACGATGAGATTGCCTTCCTTTGCCTATAAGTTATTGGAAAATCATTGTGATAAAGCAGAATCGGACCGCCAATTAATCTTTCCCCCGTTGAAGCATCAGGATCTGTAAATCATGACGACCTGACAATGTTTAATCGTACAGGTCCTGGTTGTACATTAATAGCTATAAAAGTCATGATTTGTGACTTCAGTGTGTTCTGAGTCAAGTGCTCTAAGCAAATACATTATTATTATTGTGATGTTAAAAAAAAAAATTGCACAGGAGACCAGACACTGCAATTTTGCAAAGGAGGTTTCTTTGGGAATCAGACCAGCAATGGTGTGTGCTTTTTGTATATATAGTTCATTGCTGACCATAACGTGTCTTGCAAAATAGGCATTTGGGGGGTGGGGAGTCCCTTGTCACAAAGTTGTTGTTTGTTGTTTGTGCTTTTAAGATACAAAGAGAACTAGAAGACTAAATCATTACATCCCAGACTGGCAAACACCGATGTATCTTTTTGGGTTTTCTGTCCTTTGTCTTTTCATTCCGTAAAAAAGCACCATCACAAAACTGTCAAAACAGACTCTTGTGCTGTCTTGCTGGCATAGCGAAAGAAATATTTAATGTTACTTTCCTGCTCGGTGAACACACCAAGCCTCTTGCCACCATACCATCCCTTCCCTTTTAAAAAAACATTTGCTTTAAAATAAAAACGATTACCCGTCAATTGAAAATGTTTGTGAGAAAGAAAGGGGGGGGGAGCAATTTTATACAGATGTGTTCCACACTCGATAACTTGGGATTCTTGGGAAAACAATTGTTTTCTAGTTATAGAGACAGAGAAAAAATGTTTCTGCTTAACAGCACCTGAGTTAGGTATGGAAGACTGGTAAAATATGAACATTAATTGTTATTTTTGAAAAGTGGAAGTGGGGAGCAGGATTTATAAATTGTTCCACTGTTTTTTTAGGTTGAGCTTGCTGCTAAAGTGTGTTAGCAATCTCTCTCTCTCTCTCTCTCTCTCTCTCTCTCTCTCTCTCTCTCTCTTTTTGATCATGCAGTTCTTTGGCTCCTTGAACCTTGGGAGGTGATTGTTTGTCTTATCTTCTGGTGAGCTAACTCTGCGCTGTGTTGCAAAACCTTGAGGCATGTTGTGCTCCTTTTTACTGTTCCGGGAGCCTGCAACTGAAGTCAGCTTCATTAGTTTCACTGATGGCACATCAGTGCGCGGCTGGTGTTGCCGCTTCCTTCCAGCTAGACCCCAAGCATGACTGGGGCTGCCTTGGTTTGGATAAGCTTGTAAGGATTTGTCAGCCAGATGTGACAAGATTGTCAAGAGGGCGAGTAAAGGAGGAGATCTGATATTAATCAGTGCATAGCTCGGAGCCAAACTTTCTCAAATGCAGTGTAGCAACATGTTCTTCTCATTTACTGTGCCTCTTTTGTGGCTACAGATCTGCCACTGTGCGCCTCTGACGGTTAAAGGGAATGCCAGCTAATCGTATTTAATTGTAAAGACGAAAATTGTGGGTGGGGTGCGGAAAATGAGTGTATCTTGCTATCCATTAACTTGCTTTTTTTTTTAAAAAAAAAGGAAAAAATTATAGTGCAGGTTGCTGCTGTTTACACACAGACACTCCAACAGAGCGAAAGTCCTGGGATCTCTCTTTTTGCAAAGTAGGCGGCTGTGGCTACCCATTGTCTTCCTGTAACACTGGGATCACAGCACAAATTGCCAGAGATGCATCCCGTCTTCAGTCGCTGGATGTTGATTTTTAGGGATAGCGACAGGCTGTGTGGGCTGCTCTCCCTCTTTGGCTCTTGAGGAGCAGAGGCAATCCGTTTAATTAGTTTGGGAAGGGGCATGCCTCGCCATCGCTGCGTTGCCTCGGTGGACTCTTCCAAGACTGCGCACATTTAACCTCAAATCCATTATGTACAGTGGTACCTCGGGTTAAGTACTTAATTTGTTCCGGAGGTCCGTACTTAACCTGAAACTGTTCTTAACCTGAAGCACCACTTTAGCTAATGGGGCCTCCTGCTGCCGCCGCGCCGCCGGAGCACGATTTCCATTCTCATCCTGAAGCAAAGTTCTTAACCTGAAGCACTATTTCTGGGTTAGTGAAGTCTGTAACTTGAAGCGAATGTAACTTGAAGCATATGTAACCCGAGGTACCACTGTACTAGGATACAGGTAGCGGCGCTTCTCCCAAATTCAGCTTCCTCTCTCATTTAATGTTCGCTGGTGCGGTTTATCTCATAACTGATGCCGTATATTTTAGGATGGAGTGAGCTGGCAGATTTTAAAAAACCCCATAGGAACTTGCGAATTTGCCTTATCGTCTTTAATCGTAAAGAAGAGAGTTGTGGGTAGGGTGGGGAAAATGAATGTATCTTTCCTTTGTCCATTTAACTCTATACTGTCTGCACTGATTGGCAGCTACTCTCCAGGATTTCAGGCAGGGAGCCCCTCCCAGCCCTACCTTAAGTTGCCGGGAATTGAGCCCGGACCTCCTGCATTCCAGACAGATACTCTACCATTAAGCTATGGCCCATTCTCAAAATATTGTGATTATTATTACTACTACTACATCCTTCCCCAAGGTTCCCAATATGAAATTCCAAGGAACCATAGTGGGCACATCAAGCGATAATGGGAGGATTGGTCTATCATTGCTGGGTAGCAACAACATATCCTCCAACGTTTCTCTGCTGGAAACAGAGACGTCCTATTCCATCATCTTCATCATACTCCGCCCATCTGACTGGGTTGCCCCAGCCACAGCTTCCAACATATATAAAAACATAATAAAACATTAAACATTTTTTTTAAAAAAACTTCCCTACACAGGGCAGCCTTCAGATGTCTTCTAATGGTTGCATAGTTACTTATCTCCTTGACTCCAGGGGGTCGATAACTCCATCCTCTCCAACATTTCTGCGATGAAAATAGGGGTGTCCAAAGGAAAAGCGGGACATTCCGGAATCAAATCAGAAACTGGGACTGCTTCTGTAAATCCAGGACTGTCCCTGGAAAATAGAGACACTTGGAGGGCCTGTCCTCTAAATCTTTTGAGTATTATTACTATTATTATTAATGGGACGCGGGTGGCACTGTGGGTTAAACCACAGAGCCTAGGACTTGCCGATCAGAAGGTTGGCAGTTTGAATCCCTGCAACGGGGTGAGCTCCCGTTGCTCGGTCCCTGCTCCTGCCAACCTAGCAGTTCGAAAGCACATCAAAGTGCAAGTAGATAAATAGGTACCACTCCGGCGGGAAGGTAAACGGCGTTTCCGTGCGCTGCTCTGGTTTGCCAGAAGCGGCTTAGTCATGCTGGCCACATGACCCGGAAGCTGTACGCCGGCTCCCTCTGTCAATAAAGCGAGATGAGCGCCGCAACCCCAGAGACTGGACTTAATGGTCAGGGATCCCTTTACCTTTACCTTTACCTTTACCTTAACCTTACTATTATTACTATTATTATTATTATTATTATTATTATTATTATTATTGCTGCTGCTGTTGCTGCTGCTACATTCTTCCCCAAGGTGTCCAGTATGAAATTCCAAGGAACCTTATGAAGTTCCATATTGGGCACATCTACCCATAATGGGAGGATTGGTCTGTCAGTGCTGGGTAACTACAATGGATGGAGCCACAGTGAATGTAGCTTCTGTATTCAGAGGTAGCATGTAACCTGTACTACTAGATACTGTGGACAACCAACAGGGACTGAATCACCCCCTTCATGCCTTCCTTTTTAACGTACAGAGTAATTTCACTTGCCACCATTAGAAGCAGAATGCCTGGCTAAAGGAATGAGTCTCAGGGTTGTGGGTTCGAGTCCCGCATTGGACAAAAGATGCCTGTATTGCAGGGGGTGAGACCAGATGACATTCTTGGCCCTTCCCAACTCCGAACAATAGCAGTGGCACCATTAGTGTAGGCCAGGCATAGGCAAACTCCGGCCCTCCAGATGTTTGGGACTACAATTCCCATCATCCCTAGCTAACAGGACCAGTGGTCAGGGATGATGGGAATTGTAGTCCCAAGCATCTGGAGGGCCAGAGTTTGCCTATGCCTGGTGTAGGCCTTTAGGGCAGGCAGCCCAGGGTCCCACTCAGCAGAATAAGGGGGGGGGAGCCACAAAGCGCCACAGGGCTTCCCACCACAATTTGAAGCAAGTGAAATAATGCACATTACCACCAAAAGAGCACCACTCCTCAAGAGAACCATTAAGTCCCACATCCAAAATTACCACTGCCTAGCAAAGGCAAATTGTGTGACTGCCTTGGGACAGCTGAGCAACGAACGAGCAACTGCATTCTTCCTTTCAATTGATTATTAGGAAGGTTCCTTTCCAGGACATCTCAACCTTTTGGTACCTGGGGGCCTGTTTGGAGATCCTGGAAACTGTCACAGGCACCGCAAAATACCCAGTGCACAGAAGGAAAGCTGGTGGTGCTCAGAACCCCCTAAAAATAAACCAAAACATATATACCACCCACCCCCCCAAAAATAAAACACAGGCCAAAAATAAATAAATCATATAGTGTGCCCTTCAGACAATAGGTGACTCCTGCTAAACAACCCAAAAAGCCCCCAAAGCCAACAACTCTCATGAAAATAAAATTAGTAGTGTAAGG